AGTCCAGCAACTTTGTGAAACGGTTGTGTGTGCATCATGTCTCTGCCATGTTCATCCCTTTGTTATATTGTTTGACACGCATCATAACCATCTGCCCTGCTGCAATGATTGAACTCTTCTGTTTCTGACAGAGTAAATATTTAAAATGGAGCCTAAACCCTGAAATTCATGTTTCTATGAAAATCATCTAATTGATTATCTAATTATTAGATGATTCTTAGTAAAACAATGACCAAATCTAATACACTATGGGCCGGATTTATCAAGATCCAATTTTGCGTGCAGTAATTTGCGCTCGCAAACTGGAATTTTGCGCGAGGGGCTGAACCATGGTTTGCGGGTGATTTAACAAGAGTGATTGCGTAACTGGTGGAAGGTGCAAAACTGTTGGAGACGCCCTATTTAAATGATGGTTTTGCGCGTTTTGTGGTTTGCGGCAAAGTAGTTTGTAGTCTGTACAAACTAGTGCATTAAGAAATTTAAATCTTACAGTGACCCCCAACAAAAAAAAAAAATAAATAAAATAAAATAAAAATAAATATATATATATATATAAATTGGCAACCTTTATTCCCTAAGGTGGTATGTGCTGCAGTAAAAAAAAAGCAAAAAAAAAAACAGGTGTTTTGTATTGGCCTGTGACTGTGGATGAGATCCCCGCAGCATTTGGCACGTTGCTCCACAGGCGCAGGTGGAGAACCCCGACCCCGTCGGACAGCACTTCTGAAAAACGACATTGGGAGATCCCCGCTCTCGCTGCAACCGTACGCTGGAATGACCCAGATGCAAAAAAGTGCAATGTTGCAAGGAGTTTTGTGATATCTGGTATTGCGTGGATCCTCCTTGTGGCTGGCTCCAAATCCATTCGGAGTTCCCCCAACAGCTCCAAAATGTCAATGCTGGATAAACGATATGTTTTGATGATCGTTTCCTCGTTCATTGCAAAAATATTCACACGGAGTGAAAAAATGCGTTCTCTGCGTCTCCTTGCTTTATTTCCATGTCTCCTTCTTGCGACAATAACCGCTGCCATGTGTGCGCAATTACGCATACAGACCATTTGCACCTTCTTTTGAAACGTGTTAAATATAGAGTCAGATACCGTTAGCAAAATTGCGTTCAGGTTTGATAAATCACTTTGCGAGTGCTAAATTAATATATTTACATGTTCTCCTCCCACAAGACGCACTTTTGCGTGTAAACGCCCCAAATTGCATATTCATTGCAGAAAAAGTACTAAATGGATAAGAGGTGCTATTTAGCACGTTTTAAAGACCAAATACTTTTAGCACGCTGTTGATAGATCAGTTTGTACATTTTTTAGCGTGCGCAGTGAAATAGCTCACGTTTTTATACACGCAAACCTTTGATAGATCCGGCCCTATATCTCTTTGCTGCTGCTTTCATGATACATCTTGGTCCTGCACCTCAATATATTGACTTCATTCAGTGTTTCTTAAAATCTTTAACATCCCTAAACAAAACAGCCTGAAACAGGTGGAAGTGTAATGTTCCAGCTAATGCCATTCATAATTTTTCATCACATTTAAGAATGTAGTCGCTAGAAATGATTTTGCAAGAAAAGTACCCATTTGAAGGTAAGCAAACTTATATTAACTATTCATTACTCATTTGGTTAAGGGCTGAAATTATTAATCAAACTGATCTTGATTAACTTTGAATCAATTGGAATGCATGATCTGGTTGAATTGTTGGTTTCATTCAGGAGAGCATCCTTTAATACGTTTGTAACACAGAAGATCTATAAATGGAACAAACCATGTCAAATTATTTAATGAACGAATATTATGATTTATATTTTCTCAGGTGTTTAAATATAGTAAAAAGATCCAGGAAAAAACACAATGATCAAACAGACCATCACATCAGTTTTCAGTATGAAATAGAACAACAATGGTACAATGGCACGCAGTGTTCTCCTCTTTTTCTCCTGTTCCACCCAGTTAAAAAAGAACAGGAGAAAAAGAGGACAGTATTAAACTGAAACTAGCCCAAATATGGTTTCAAAAAGTGCTAAATAATCAAACGTGCTGCCACCCATTGATAAAATAGTAATATCTCTATAAAAAGCACTAAACAAGTGCTATTAAAAGTTGTATACTTATCAAGCTGTTGCTTCTAATGCAGGAATATGTTAGCAATATGTGACCTAAAAGGACACATATTGTTGTTTTCTTGTTTCTTGTACTATATAGTGGAGGATGTTCTTTTTCAGGTTGGATCATCAAAACACGTGGTCCTCCTAATTGTCATTCATTCTGGTGATATGTTTACATGCTCGTCCCAATTTTCACTTGCCGTTGGTGAGTCTGACATAGTGGAAAATTTGCAAATTTTCTTCTGAAAAGTAAGTTTTTATCAGTGATGCAAGATGCAACTTTTAAACAGAGTGTGCACGAGGAAATGGGCTTGTGCATGCTCTTACATGCATTTAATAGGCATTTCCTCTCGGTAGCAGGTGCAGGGTTGTGCATGTATATATTTTTTTGAAAGTGGAGAGGGCGGATCAAAAACTTGTGAAAATCATCCACTATACCTTTAACTTTCATGCCTACCTTAATGCATGTATACTAATTTGTGTGAGACGCAGGTGCGGAGATGATTCAAGAAAATGTCAGGGTCAGATAAAGGTATATCACACGTCCTTCTTGTTTAGACCTATTAAGAACGTGACCTATTTCCCCTTGTGAAACAAGTGATGGGAGACAAAAAACTATATGCATATATACAATATTAAGCTTTACTGCAATAAGAGTTAGGCTACTGTCATCCATACTATGGCTGGTACCATGATTAGCCTATTTAGGAATATTTCAGGTGGATCTGTCTTATTTTTTTATGAGTATCTGTTTGAATATCTCAGACCACACCAAATTTGGATTTGGTAAGAGTCGAGAATTAAAAATATGATCTTGTGTTACGAGCTGTACACTTGTAGGTAAAACTAAAAGTGTTTGGTTTTCATATTTATTTTGTTTCCTTGCCCCTTTCTTGATTGATAAGTTGCAATTAAAACAACCAATGTGGTAGACAGGAAACACATTTTGGATAAAAGTATTTTTACTAAAAACTTTTCCAAGAATCCGGCCCAAACTTCCCAGGTTCTACTGGAGTTTTACTGCCATAAAGAGGATCCTTTTCCACTGTTGCCACATACATGATCAATATGAAGGATTGCTGCAAAGTTAATGACTCCTATCACAGTCAAAGACCCCCAACGCCCACACCAACATGCCATTTTAACTGCTGTGTTTTCAGATGAGTTGTGTTTTTCCTTTCCTATTAAGTCATTTTCAGAGGAGCTGCTGCATTAACTGTCTGACTTCCAGTTCTCTGTGGAATGAATAATGCTGGTTTATTTTAAGACAATCTGACTTCACAAGAAACAAGTTGTGGGTTGTTAACAGACAAAATTATTGCCTTTACAGGATTAGATTCCATTTGCCATGAGATTAAAATACACTGGAAGTATGGAAGAAAGTTTTTCTATTTCCAACGAGAAACTCTTATTCGTCTGTGGTGAAAATACTGACCTGCTGAATCCCAACAGACTCAAAGTAATAGATTACTTTTCTAATAATCTGCATAGTTTGTCCCTCTTTCCAACAATAACTAAACCTAGCAATTTTTTTTTTTTTTTTGTCAGAATAACATGACAGAATATAACATTAATATGTTCATTAGTAATTTTGGGGTTCCAGCAAGAAGTGGTTTGTAATATGTGACATCACTGATCGCCCATTTTTACTTTGTGTGACTGCAAACTTAAATATATCAAAGAGGATAGTGACAGCAAGAATGAAGGAAACTATCAATGACTTTCATAGCAGTTTAAAAGATCAGCACTTGAGCTCAGTAACCTCTGAAACATGTAGATAATTTTCTAAACATCTTTGTTCTCTGTATAATATACCCTGACCAGTTAAAAAATACTACCGGTACTTTAAGAAAAAAATCTATAAAATCCTTTTTTGTAAACAAAAAAAAACTATGCAAGCTGTTTATCAAACTCAAAACTAAAGATGCAGAATAAAGACATAAGATATACAAAAACAAACTAAGATATAATTTGAACTCCTCAAACGTTATATTTAAGCAAATCCTGTATATTAATAGAACAAATATGAAGAACATACTGAATGACTTGATGAAACAGGGACCATCAAACATGGATTATCCGAATTATTTTTACGGTATAAATGGAGATATTTTCAATATGGTGGTGGTAGTGTGATGGTCTGAGTTTGCGTTGCTGCTTTAAGACATGGATGACTTGCCATAATCGATCAAAGTTGGAATTCTGTGAGGATGATTTTAATCAAAATTATATTTGGATTATGCAGATCTGTCAGTGGAATAAGTTATTTAGTGTTTTTTCTGCAAAATGAGTCTTTGGAGATTTAATTAGAGGTTCTACGTAAGTATATTAAGTTCACCATTAAGTTTAACCTCAATAATCCAGAAATAGAAATAACCGGAATTTCATCAATGTGGGACAAGTAGGCATTTCTTAACTTATACTTTAGGTTTTCCAATGATAATGATGGTAAAAAGTCTCTCTATCCTTGTATTGTATTATGACTGTCATTGGTTTGCCCTTTTAGTTGGATGTTTATAGAAACAGTAAAGTGTTTGTGTGTGTCACAGTGGATTCCCCCACATACTGGCCCCCTACTGGCTTTCTAGCTAATGTGATGTCTTTCTCTCTGTGTGTGTCTCTGTTTTTATGACTGTGTGTCTACGTCTTTTGTTGTTTTTTTTGTCCAATTTTTTCTTTTTGCCACATTCGACTGGTCATCTACCTTCCTTGTTTTCTGTGTGCTTTCGGGCATGTTTTGCATGTTTGTGTTTGCTTTAAATGTATGTTTGTGTTTGTCTTTGTCCCCACCCATGTCTGTGCATCTCTTTCTTTGTGTTTGCTCCCATCCTTGGTCTTGTCTTTTCCCTTTCGTTGGCGTCTCCATAATGTCCTCCTCCAGCCTTTGTGACTTTGCTGAACGGGGACCAGGCTCAGGATGCCATCCGCTCCCTCCACCACAGCACTGTCCGAGGACGCCTGATCAACGTCACGCTGCAGCCCACAGATTCCCTGCTCTGCCTCACCAACCTGCCCCACACCTTCACGGCGCAGCAGTTCGAGGAGTTGGTGCGTTTGTATGGAAACATAGAGCGCTCCTTCCTGGTTTACAGTGACCTAACGGGCCACTCCAAGGGATATGGGTTTGTCGAGTACATGAAGAAGGACTCTGCTTCAAGAGCCCGCTCGGAGCTGTTGGGTCGCCCTCTGGTATGTGTGAACAAAAGAAATTAAACAAATAATCATTCGCTTTCAATTATTTAGCTGTAAAAAAAAAAAAAGGTTTCTATGTATTTCTAGATGATGAAAGATAGAAAGATAAGGAATATCCAGTTTTGCAATGCCACAATGTATCGTGATCATACTATACGGTAAAGATACGGTAAAGATGATATTGTAATCGTAAAATAGGAGGAAGAACTTTATCCTGTAACTGATAGGTTTGTAGTTCAAGCACCTAATAAACCCATCCATCCATCCATCCATCCATCCATCCATCCATCCATCCATCCATCCATCCATCCATCCATCCGTCAGTTCAGCCATCCAAATTGGCACCAATTGTATGGACTCCTTCTGTCAGCAGGCCCCACAGCAGCTGTGATTAGGTTGTAGCTTGCCAGCATCAGTGTATGAAAGTGTGTATTAATTGATAAATACATTTATGTAACATAAGTCCCTCTGGGGTCCTCAGAATTGATAAAAATGCTATAGAATAACAGGTCATGAGCTATTTTACTATAAACTAGTCATTAATGTATTTTTAGCTCATCGTTGACATAGGCTGTTGTCGTGCATTTCTTTATAGATGAGGAATTGTATATGATTAGCTTTTTTCAAAATAATGGTGTAAATACGTAACTGCTAACTAACATCATAGCTTTTAAAATGATCTATAAAGTGTTTATTACTAAACTGTCCCTAAATTATTTGAGAAAGTTTAGATAATTTAGATCTGATAATTAAATGTTGCTCTCATCCAACACATAAGCTCAGACCTTACTAAAACATTTGGTAGTCTCCAAAATAGAACATATTATTGTGCAGTTATGCAATCTTTGATTTATTTTCATCTGTAAAGTCAGCAACTTGTTTCCTAGATCTTATTCAAACATGAAAATGAGCATTGACAATCATCAGCTTGTCTATTAAATGAAGAACAAGCAACTCGTGAACCATTCTTGTGACTGTTAGATGTGTTTGAGTTGAGTTTTACCTTAAACCTGATTTGTTGCAATCTCTCACTGAGTACTTTAAAGAGCCAAATATGGACTCTTACAGTTGAGCCTGGTTGAAATGTCTGTACATTCAAAACGTTTCTTGCCCTTTTATTTGTGATGCTTAAGTCATATACTTTAGAGATGGAAACAGAATCTTTACTTTACTGATAAGTTTGTATGGAATACATTTATTACAGATTCTAAACTTTGTGATTATCATGACCTGGCTGACTGAAAATGTATATTTAGTCAGTTTGAACTATTTTAATGTGTTTGTGCTTTACTAAATGTTTCAGGGGGATCGGTCGCTGATGGTGCAGTGGATGGATGTCAACCAGCTGAGCCAGGAGGAGAACCTTCATTCAAAGTGTTTGTGTGTCGACCGGCTGCCTCTTGACCTCTGCGACTCCGAGGAACTCGCTCAACTCTTCTCTGAAACATATAAACCAATTTTCTGCCAGGTAAGATTTGGTTGTTGTTTTATTTTGCATTTTAACTGTTGCAAGCTATATCTGATGACAGAAAATATCATCAGTATAACTGAGAGCTCACTACATACAGTAGGTCATGACATAAACAGAAGTTGGCTTTTATCAAAAGCAATCAAGAATCATACTCTCAATGGGCTGCAGAGATCTTGGATAAACCACAAACTTTTCCATCGCTGGATTACAGAGACACATGCTTTTCTGGCACACCTGTAGCCCTCCACCTCACCATGTATCACGGTAAACACACCATCTCCATACCACCCCATGGTTGGGGTAGTCAGTTCAGTTTTGAATCGCTATTTTTTTACTATCCAAATGCAATGTCACACTGAAGTACACAGACAATCGTTGAGCACTTAGACCAAGCGGAAAACTGCAGCTCAAGCTGAAGCCTGCTTACCTGAGTTTAGACCGCCGACAAGCTTCTGATCGGCCAGGATGTCTGAAAAAAGTAAGAGAGACATAGGCTTCTTTGAAAGTCAAAGTATAAGTTACATTCAAAGAATTGTGTCACACCCCTCCTAAAACACCTTTATTGGCTCCATGACTGATTTTATATATGAGCTTATATATATATATATATATATATATATATATATATATATATATATATATATATATATATATATATATATATATATATATATATATATATATATATATATATATATATATATATATATATATATATGTAAATAAGCTCATAAAAATGATAAAACTATTTGTTTGGGATGGAAGAGATGCAAGAGAAAGTGGAGGAAATGGACAGAGAATGTGGAGGAAACAAACATAGAAGAACTATTAGAAAAAATGGCCCATGATACAGAGTAGTCCTTAACAGTTTCCTAAAGACTAGAAAATAGGGGTGGATGTTTATCTTCCAGTGGGACAGTGGCCCTATGAAGTATATTCATATGATAGTAGCTCACTCAATGTACATGCTTGAATCCAATTAAGACTGTGTGGCTTTCAAAATTTATGTTCCAAGTACAATGTTTAGGTTTGTAAAGCTATTAAATATACGATGGATTAACTAAGCATTACAGTAGACTTACAAGTCTGTTGTTTATGGCAGCCACGTTTATTAATCTAAAGAAACGCAGCCTGAAAATGCAAACATTATGTTGTTTAAAAATGGCTTAACTTTATCATGGGAGACACATCAGTTGTATGACCAGGGCTTTGCTGCTGTTTTAACTATGCATGTGTTTGTTGGGTCGTGGTAGGGGTAGTACTGCTTAAATGGCCTATTGTGGTCAGCCAAATTTACATGGTAAACATACAGTAGTATATTTGTCTGCAAAGGTGAGGGTGGACCCAGATCAAGGTGGGACTAAAAGAATATATATAGCTTAGAACCATTTGGGTAATTGCGGATGTGATGAGGAAACCTTTTTGTGATTTGAAGTTATACTAAAATAATATATTTTAATACAACTGCTCAACCAGCGCCTTAAAAAAATCCCCTTCATCTCCACACATACATTTTCACTACCAGGTAGGTGGCACATGTTTAATGGATTTAATTCATTTTGCTCCACCTCTCAGAATGTTCATTGTGAGGTGTGTCTGCAGCATTTGTTTTCTCTCAGATTTGGTTATTTTATTATTTTTTTTTGTTTGTTATCTGCTCCTCCCCCTCATAGCCATTTAAAGTCCACTCAATGAATGTCGGCCATCTCCTGCATTTCCAGTTTTAGCTCCACCCTTCTTCCTCTTCCTCCTACATAGAAATCAATACACCTACATCTTCCTGGTCCCATGATGCTTTGTGGGTGTTTAGCTCATGTTTTGCTGTTGCAGAGCCAGCAGTGTTTGACCTAAAGTTCAGCTTTTATTTTTCCTGTGTTATGTATTATGTGCTTTTTGAGTCAGTGTTATACTGGTGTTTAAAACATATGCATTTGAATGCTTAATGCAAAAAGCATGTGAGGGCTAACTGAACACAGGGCACAAATGCACCAATTTACCAGGTTTTACATTTGCCTTCATGCAGTAATATTCGGCTCACTCCTATATATTACTTTAACATTAATATTTATGTTTTACTCTGATGAACGGTGAGGCTGTTTGATTTTAGCCAATCAAACACCTTTATGCAAATAAACTCCAGAAAAGAGAACTAGTGATGGGTCCAGCAACACAAATGCATCAGTGCATGGGTCGAGCATAGAGAGCAAAACTGTATCGGTGCATGTGTTGTTTATCATGTGAACGATACAGACGTTGTTTCTAACTTACTAACACAATAAACTGTGTTAAAAATGTCAACATGATGCATCTGCTTAAAAAAAAAAGTCTAATCTTTTGCAGTTTAATTTTCTCATTGTGTCATACTTGTCCTCCCAGTTATCACTCAACTTATCTGAATTAAAGTTAATTTAAAATTAGTGTTTTTACTGTACTTATTGTTTTAAGATTATTATTTAAAATCCTAGTCCACAAGCATCCTCATTCACATTATCTCGTTATGATATATGTTTACATTATTTACTGGGTGCATCTAAAAATAGATATTTTCAATCTAAACACAGATATGATAAAATATAATATAACCTACAATAACTTCAATGATTACAGTGTCCTGTCTGACAATGTGGCAATAAGAATAATTGTCTTTATGCCAAAAAGAGCCCAATAGATTTTACTTTCACAAGTGGAACAGTACGGCTATCTCCATAGTGTTCTGCTTGATTTATGCATAAAAATAGCTTTATTATATTTTATGCAGGGAGTATTACAGATTATATGGACACTTCAATGTAAGTAGAACAGGAAAGGACAAACTGAAAAAAGGAGAAAAGATGAAAGAAAGAGGAGATAAAATGGAGATAATGATAAAACATCTTCAGTCTGCTTCATCACCTGCAAAGAGATGTAAAAAGAACAGCACAACCAACAGATATAGTATAAGAGATACAATAAAGTCACACCTTGATACTATCGCTGAAGTATAGGTAGTCTTATTTAATCTGACATGTATACTGTGGTAGCTAAAGATAAGAATATGGGCTTTCTGTATGGAAGTGAATCTCTAAGTACCTGGAACCAAGCATCTGTAGTTGTTTGTGAGAGTGCACTTATGCATGTAAAGCTTATCCAAAAGGGAAAATGCTCAATAGTGGTTGTGATGAGCCAAAGCCGTGCCCCCCCAAGAGCATCGAGGCGAGCGCGAGGGGCCAACCCAGGAAATCTAACCCCCCTCCAAGGGTGGAGGAGAGAAGACCCAGAGGAAATCCCCCAGCAGCTGCAATGCCGAAGTCTCCGGGAGCCACAGGGAAGAGTCCACGGGCTCCACAGTTAGCCAGCCACCCCGAAGTGGAACCGACCATGGGCCCAAGGGGGCCAGGCCCTGCGAAACATCCCCCAGGAATAAGGCAGTATCCGCCCGGGCATCCACCCCCAAACACTGAGCATCGCCAGTGCACTGGCGAGCCAAAGCAACAGCCAGTGGAGGGAGTCAGGACAGGAGGAATGGGCTCCACACTTAGCACTTAGAGACTTTAGATGTTCTTGGGAGTGGGAGCAGTTCAGACCGAACCTGACAGATTCGGTCTGTCAGGTCTCAATCACGCCTTCCCACCCTAGTGCCACTAAAAAAAATAAAATAAAATAAAAAATAAAAAAAGAAAGAAGAACGTATCGCTCCATGGCCACAGGCTCTTATATAGTCTTGGAGCTAAGGCTTTTGCTCTAAAACTTTTCCTCCTGCTCGACTACTGGTCATGGCTGAGGCAAAAAAAAAGTTTAAACCTTCTGAGGAGGCTAAAAAGAGGAAATGTGAAAACGATCGTGCACGAGGAAAAACAACAGTGGATCTTGGAAAAGGAGTTTGTTGATGGCTGAAAAAGAAGCCGGATGTAAAACCGATTCTCTTTTCCCCAATGTATTATTAGACTGGTAAGTACTTTGGTCCTTAAGAAACACCTGCATTCACCCATCACAACAACCATCCCACCAAACGTTTCATATAACCAGAAAAATACAGTTCTCTTGGCAAGTGCTAAACTCTGACTCATTCATGTGATTATTCGATGAAGAAGGGTTATTCTTAAGGCCAGAGCTCCCCCTGCTCTAGTAAGAGCTTAGATACAACTGCTTGACGAAGGAAATGTATTCTATGAAGCTCTCTACACCCAGAATTTTTAGGTTCTGCAGCGATATACTTTGTGTAAGAGGGGAGTGTGGCCTAGTGATTAGGGCATTTTGCTTGTAATCCAGAGGTTCTGAGTTCAAAACCCACTCCCACAGACTGACACTCTGGGTCTCTGAGCAAAGACCCTTAACCCCACACTGCTCCCCTGGCACCGGACATTAGCAGCCCACTGCTCCCCATAGGGATGGGTTAAATGCAGAGGTAAAAATCTCCCCCATGTGAGATCAATAAAGTTTAATTAATTAATGCTTGCAACTATGCATGTCAATATCCACTGCCCCCACCCTTCACCTCATCAGTTAAAATGGCCCACCACTTTATGGCTTAGTTGTTGTTTCCAATCACCAATAATACCTCAGAGATATATTTAGGGGTGAGGGAATTTCAAAACTGGAGGTATTGCACAGGCATCCTCTCTAGGTATCACACTAGAATTCACTGAGCTCCTGAGTCTACAGGCTCTTAATACATCTGTGATGATTGGAACACCTAGTTTGAACTGTCTGGATGGGTGGGTGAATAGTTTTTGCATTACATGTGTCTTCAAGGTTAAAACATTTAGAGCTTCACTGAGATATATTCATCCTCTCCATCAGTTTCAACACAACTCTACAGTGCCTGTGAGCTGCTTGCACATGCAGTGTTGCACTTATGGCATGTTGGGAATCTCAGGACTGTGAAAAAATCTGCAATACCATCTGTATCAACTAACTTTCTCTCTCTATACTGTATATACAATATTTTTTCTACTCTCACCGCAGAAAAGAGGCAGGAAATAAAGATGTCTTTGCAGTGCTGTGCTCAGATGACCAAG